ACACAAGTACTTCAATAGAAAAAATATTGTTAACAATTTAACGAACGATTCATACGGAGAAGTTCGTAAGTAGAATTTCTTAAGATTTAATAATTAAATTTTATATTGTTTTAGTTACTGAATTAATACAAAAAATATTTATTAATATAATTTAGTTAATATAGAACTTTGAAAATGTGATTTTATAGATAAAATTTATTTATTTTTATGATACAATAATGACATTCAAATTTATTTGAAGGTGGTATGCCACATTAGTATTCTAGGGTTAATCTACTCCGGATGATTTACCGAAAGCTATTGACACAACGAACGCTGATCTGACTTGTATTTGGACTGGTGTAAATCTAATGGATTATCCATTAATTCTACTAAAACTCAAGCAATCATTATTAGTAGTTCGAGATTAGTTGCTAGGGTTGACTTTTGTTTCATACCACCTATTGTCCTCAATGGCATTTACATCCCTTATAGTGATAAAGTTAAGAATTTAGGGATATTGTATATCTGGCTCTTGTCTCTTGTCTGGTTATCACGTGGTAGAGCCATGCTGCAGCTATATTAGTAGTATGTATAGTTGTAACACGAATGGGTCGGCTCGGCCGGGGAAGGACGACGCTCTCACAGAATACCAGCGTAAAATAGCACCTCAATGCTGCTATGTTTCGTATGGTGAGTTTAGAGAACCGGAGACCCATTTTACTGGAAAAGAGGCATTCTATCTTAGTCCTCACGACTGACAACCCATCTGCATTTTAAGTCGCAAACGAATCTAGATGTACAAATTAATGAAGTCAGTAGAAAAATGTTTGCAGCGCTAAGCTTTCTGTGGAGACTTACAAATTTTCTCACTACTGCCACTAAAGTTGCACTTGCTCAATCTCTACTTGACTATGCTGATGTTAGCTATCTGGACGTTTCCGAAGCGCATTTAAATAAACTTAAGCGTTTTCAAAATGTATGCTTACCATTCATATTGGGACTCCGTAAATATGATCACATTTCAGAATTTCTTAAACGTCTCAAGTGGCTGCCGATTCGCCTTCGCAGGAATACTCATATCTTTTTTGCTTTATACAACATACTATTCAATCCCTCTACCTCACGTTACCTGAAAGACCGCTTTGAATTAGTTTCCTATTCTCACGATCGTCATCTACGTTCCATTAACAATTTTTTGCTTCGTATTCCAGCACATTAATCCTCCCTCTTCAATAAATCTTTTTCGGCTCAGTCCTTTTTTTCTTTCAAAATCTACTCAAAACTTATTACTTGGAACTCTAATATTTCCCATCATAATTCTCGTTCTTAATTGTATCTATCATACCTAGCCTCAACCGTCATCATCTTGTGTGTATTTGCTTTTTAACTTGTTAGTCAGATTTATGTACATTTTCCCTATTTGCAATTCGCTGTAAACAACAGTTCATTGCTAAATAAGGGTTTTCTGGTAGAAATCGTTTCCAGAGCGATAAGACCGCCTATTGTACTTTGTATATATATATTTAATTTTGTCTCATTCTAATGTGTATTGGTGTACAATAAAGAATATATTGATTGATTGATTAATGAACTCTTCGATATCTTTGCTATCCTAGAAACCTGAGATTTTTAATTCCACTTGACTAAATTCTATGGCTTTTGCAACGCTTCTACTAAGCACTTGTGTTGCAAGTTTGATATTCCTTATTGAGTTTCTAAAATAAATGTGTTTTTTGTGAGTTTATTAGCTAGATGTAAGCCAGTTTTGCTTTGTAAATCACACAATTTTTTTACGTATTACCATCGTATTTCTTTTTTATTCTAATTCAAGAAACATTCTTTGGATTCAAAGTGATTCCTTATTAATTTTACCATGTGGCAGGGATAAGAAAAACGGCGACAACGTAATTGGCATAAGGGTGATTGAATGTAATTTTTAAATGCCTCGGATCACATTTAATTTTACACCCCAGTATTTCCCTTGCGGACAGTTTTGTAGGATGTTCGTCAAAAATAAGTGACACAACGTCTACTTCTACATCGTTGCATCTTCTTAAAATAATCTTAATAATATTACTTTTTTGAACGCCTGTTAGCCCGTGAATAAGGAAATAGGCAACTGGTAATTTCTAGGGCTCATTAAGTGACACCAGTATAAAAACGTATGCCTCGGAAGCCATTCTGTTTATATTTTCATTGGGACCAGAACCGATATTAACAAGCCCGTCGTCTTTATGAGTTCGATTGTTCCAACATTTTTACTGTCGGATAGCCTTTTCACCTGCAATTGGTGCGCAGATAAGGTTTGTTCCAGATTTTTCTCTTGGATTTCAGTGTTTGAAAGGCATCTACAGTGAGTCCTGGGGAACCCTCGATATTGCATAGTAATTTAATCAAAGTTTTGGGATGTGGGAGGCATGTCTCAAATTTTCTTCTAACAAAGCTTTAAGCACGTGGTGACAAAAAGTGCAGTGTCAAACAAAATTTCCGAAATTCCCGGGAGTACTTAACAGGCCGTTTATCTTAACCTTTTATTTATTTTTGACATTTAAGAGTATAAATTAGCGGCAAATAAATTTCCTTCCAGGACATTATGTACGTCTTCATTGATCAATCTTTGTTTTTTCAAAGTCTTGATAATACATTTAAAAGAGATATTCAGCTTTTTAGACGAATATTTTTTTCTTAATGAATTAATGATAATCTTTATGTTTGCCTTTCAGTATTATCTTTCGACGTCATGTACGCCGTAACATAACTTTGCGTGGAGTATCAAATATCGGTTCCAAGTCTGAAAAATCTTGTAAAACTGAAGTCTTGTAAGATTTCTAGTGGTCTTCATTTCGTGTCCGCTGTATAATGTCTCTCCAGTAATTTGCTAGGACTGAATCCGTAGGAAATATGAAACCCAAAATATTAGAAAGAACTAACAAAAATACTATTTAGTACATAACATCACGGGTTTTATTTATTATTTTACGGTGTTCCCACATAATTGCGACTTAATTTGACAGCACAAACCGGCATAATCAATTATTTTTCGTGAGCACGTTATCCTTAAGTGATTGAAATGACACTGACGTAAGTGAGAAGCGAGTCTTTCAATTATAGTATACTTTATTTGGGACGTTCTGTTCGGTCAATGTGGCATTTAGACAGGTATATAATCAAAGCCTATATGTTTCCGATTGTTACCATGCTATAAAAAAAAAAACAAAATAGAGCAAGTGGAGTGTTAATATAGTAGGGCTACGACGGCTATTCAAGCACGGACCAGAGTACGAAACTTTTCAACTGCAGAGAGGTAAGACAGGGTGACGTTACATCCCTGAAATTACACCGCTGCATCGGAAGACGTTTTCAAGCTATTGGACTGGAAAGGATACTTTATTAACATCAATGGCGTGTACATTACTCATCTTCGATTTTCAGACGATATAGTCCATATGGCAGAATCGCTGGAGAACCTAAGCACTGTGCTTAATGACCTCCTAACGGCCTATCCGTTTTTCATAAGATGAACATGGAAAAAACAAACATCACGTTTAAGTAAAGTCCATGTCATTCCTATTCGGTAGTTTTTGGGAGCACTATGCTTGAAGTGTTTACCTGTGATAAATAGTCTGACTAGGTAAGTCCAACTTCGACCGAGAGGAATCGACGGATTCGACTCGGCTGGGCAGCGGTTGGGAGGTTACAACACATCTCGTCAGGCATACCTCAAAACTTAAAAACAAGATTGTACAACCAGTTCGTGTTGCCAGTGATGTCTTAAGGATCTGAGAAGTGGTCCTTCACTGCTGACCGTTTGAGGAAGCTTAATGTCGCTCAACGAGCTATGGAGGGGGCTATGTTCAGGGTTTCTCTAAGAGATAAACTTAGAAAGGAGCAGAGGCGGCTCTTTCATTATAATAAATCAGGCTAAACCATACCAGACTCTGACAGACAATTTCTTGATAATTGTATAAAAAATAACACGAATACTAAAAGAGCGAAGCGGAGCTCCTGCCTTAGCCTTCTGAACTTACCCCTCAGAGTCGGGCTGCTGTGAGCCGAAATATGTATAATACAGATTATGATTATGATAATACAGATCCTGTTCATTTTAAGAATTATATACTCCTATGAATTCCATATATTGACGGATTTAATTGATTTCCGGTAATATATGTACATATTATACGAGACTATAATAAGAACGGTAATATGTAATAAACCTCAAAAATATAGTAGAAATACATACCCTGGAATACTAATCATATTTTACAAACGTATGTACTAATCATGAGTCATTTTGACTGCACATAAATACATATGTTGAACATAAACCAACTTTATGTCCATATTATTATTTGTATTAATATAAAAAAAAAAACGTTTATGTATAATAAACATTTCATAGAAAATAAATTCTTTTACTCTCTTAACCCTTAGATTGGCAAAACACAAAAAGACGATTTTGACTGAAAAAACTATTTATTTGTAATATATTAGTAACAAAAGCATCTTAAAAAATAATAGAAAAAATATTTTTTGTTTATTTATTGGAAAATCATATGTGCTCTAGAGGGCACTTCGCTATGTCTCCAGAAAATTAAATCAGTATTTTCCTGTCCCCTGTAGAGCACATTGCCGACTAATTAGCAATAAATTTTTTGATTTATATCTTTAAATTTTCGTAAAAATATACTACTAAACCTGTGGAATTAACAGTGCTGAGATTTTTTATTGATGTAAGATAAAACATAATAAATCTTATAAAAATATACTTCACAAAATTATTAAATCCTCCTTACTTATATCATTATTTTAATCTCAGATCAAACGCCATAAAGGATATAAAAATACAACAAAAAATAAATATTCTGCTTATAAAAATGCTTACATATGAAAGTACACACTTTTGAGATCAATTATCAAGTAAAGGTTCTAAATTTTTTATAAGCTAAGTAAATTATCAGCTAAGTATATTTTCTAATTTAACTGAAGGGCTAAAGAGTAATAAAAATATTTTATTGCTATGTTTCTTGTTCTTTTTGATGAAAAGTATAAAAACAATTGCGATTTTGTTGAATACATAGACGCATGTTACATTTTATGCACAAGAAAGTAGTTTTTCCTTTCACACGAAGTCTACAACGGCCTTTTGTTGTGATTTTAGGAAAGTGCTCTTTACCGTCATATCGACTTTCTGCTTCTGGTCGAGTTGCGATAGGCCTGCTAATTATGCGGCGTTGGTTTACTCGATTCGGAGGCTCGACATTTTCAGCCAGTGCTTTTGGAATATATGAACTCATTTCTTGTGCCACTTTAAAACGGAATGCTTTCAAAGCAATATGATCGTCGACGCCAGTCTTGAGGCCACATTCCCTTCTGTACAAAAGCCATGCATTATTTATAGCCACGTCCAACAGCTGAGAAAAAATAGGCATATACCATTTATTTGTTTTGTAGATGGTCCGGTAAATAGCCACTAACATATCGGCTAAGTCTACACCGCCCATATGCTTGTTGTATTCTTTTACGATGTTTGGGCAAGGAATCTCTCGATATTCTTTTTTATCCTTGAAATATCGTTTGCATACACCCATTGGTTCAACGCCGGTGTAGTTACTACCTAGCAAAACTCCTTTATTATCAAACCATTTCACTAAAACTATTTTTTTTTCCTCACAAACTTTCATATCCACCGATCCTCGAGGCATCTTCTTCATTTCTTTGTCATCCTTCAGAATACATCCTCTCGTTCTATTTTGTCGAAATGTGCCAATCGACAAGATACCCAGTTCGTTTCGTAGATGGTGCATTAACTCGACGCTTGAAAAATAGTTATCAAAGTATACCACAGTTAGTACGGGATCTCTTATCGTGCGACATAAAGAAAGGACAACTTTGGCACCCAATCCCAAGGTATTTTCATAATCACTAAAATCCCTTCCCGAAAAAGTATACTGTCCACCATATAGAATTGCGTCATACACTATACCAGAGACTCCTGCTCTAACAAACATTTTGTACCCCCACTTTTTAGGCTTAGTTTTTATGTATTGTTTTAATTCACCTGACTTCTTCCCTTTATACGGTACCATCATCTCATCAATGGACATTCTTCAATCTTTCTGCAGTTGGATATAATTTTATCAAACAGAGGGCGAATTTTGTAATAACGGTCATTGCTCTCATTTTCAACTTCACTGTCATTGAAATGGAGATAACGTCTTATTAACTGATATTTTTTGAGGCACATCACATTTATAACACAATCTACTTTAAAATCCTTAGACCAATAATCAACATACGCGGGTAACTGGATAATACCCATAAATATCTCAACACTAAAAAAATCCTTGATATCTTGTGTACTCAACGTTAATTCTTTGGAATCTTTTTGGTACGCATACAAAATTGTTTGATCTCTTATGTACTGTATTAAATCTTCGTCAATAAATTTATAAAAATATTCTAAAGGGCTGCCAACTTCATTAGGAGTTGTAAACTGGTTTTCCTTTAAGTTTTGTACTCCATAAGCAAATTCTTTTCCTACCCATTCACAAAGACCAATAGCTTTACTTGTTTTATTAGTTGTAAGTTTATCTGTTAATGAGGTTGATTTAGTCCTATTAGTGTATTCTTTTTTGTTATGGATCCGTAAAATCGTTTTAGTTTTTGATTTATATAAATTTTGGTCTGTTTTTGCTTTATTGCTACTTTTACTATTTGTATTAGTTGTTGTGGGTTTGGTTTGTGAATGATGGTAGCAGGAATCTTTAGATGAAGCTTGTATATATAATTTCGGACTATTTTGAGTTTGCGTTTGAGAAATCAAAGATTTCTGACGAAGAGACCTTCGTTTAGGCGTAATTTCCGCAAGTTCAGCAGATTTTTTAATTCTTTTATTTGAAGTAGACGTCTTAGCTACTAGTTTTTGCTTACGAGTCGATTTCGCTACATCTTCTATCTCACAGTCACTGTTCAAATAGAAATCATCCAGAAAGTTAGGACAAGGGCTTGATAATATCTCATCAGTTTTTTCTTTGTTTTGCGTGTAAGGTGACTCAATGATACCGATTTCAGATAGCATATTTTGATCCATTATAGATGGGGTCTCATAACAGGATGACACTGATGGTAAATTCTGATTGGAATCGGTAACATTGACAAGGGATTGTTCCGAAACACTGGGTATTTGCGGCAAATAAGGATCATAACTATATGGATATTCAACAGAATTCAAACATTGGACAGCAGAGGTTTGATGAACCGTAGCTTGACTGGATCTAACATAGTTTAGACTCAAAGAAGGAACTATCATAGCTTTTGGGGATACTGAAATCTCATCTTCACTTTCAGTTTCACTAACAGTTTTACTGTTATATATGTTTGTAGTGACGAATTTCTGAGCATCATCTGAATCAGAAGTTTCTTCGCTAGCTTTATCAGGTAGAACGAAAGACATTATGCGCTGAAAATATAAAAAAAGTACTTAGTTTGGAAATAGTATTACGCTGACGTAAGCTGGAGGAATGTAAAAGCATGGGCAATATCGGTGAAAAAGTATTATTAAAGTAACCTACAAAAGACACAAGAGAAGTACTATTAACTGGCTAAGTGCCCTGTAAGGCACATAAACACTTTTCTGTTAAGTGAACGTGTGCACTGTAAGGCACAACATACAATTTCAGGTAACCTAATAAGGTGCCCTACAAGGCACAACTGAATTTCGACGCAATAAAAATTACCTTATAAATAATTATAATTTATGCAAATACTACATATGAGAAGTTTTATGTTCCTACTATAAATTTCAAATTGAAAAACAATGAAGTTAATAGATCTACTAGGATATTTTTATTATTATTTACCTCAATGCGCCGGCGACTACTCGACCCTCCTGACATTTTGTTTCGCAATGACAGCAAACGTTACTTTTGACACATTGAAATTTTTTTTCTGTATATTTTTGAAGTAAGCTAAATCATAAGTAATGAAAGTTTTTTAAAACTGAAAATAATTATAACAAAACATTTTATTAAAATTCCCGTGATCTCCAGGGCACATGCCAATGTAAGGGTTAATACTTTTTTTGAGATCACAATCATCAATCTGATATTTAAAAATAAGAATAACAAAGATTAAAAATCTTCTTCTTTAAATCTTAAGCAGGTCCTTGCATGCACAGATATTAAAATAGTCTTTCGCTCCGCCATCATCACCTGGGTTGAGATCTATATTTATATCACCCATTAACACTATATTTTTGGTATCGGCAGTTGCTTAAGTGTATTGTCTAATGATGTGACAAAATTGGATGGCATAGTTCTAAAATTCACTAAGTCCATTTTCATTGTTTCGACACATGGTCATTTGAAGTTTTTTAAAAGGCATATGCCGAATAAAAAAAATTAGAGATATATAAGTTATTTGCCAACCTTTAATTTGATGTTTAAAAAAATATTTATCTTAATTATTATGCCTAGTATGAGCATTTAAAATTTAGGACTTATCGCCAAAACTTGCGGATTTTTTAACATAATTTTTGGTGTCAGGGACATATTATCATAACTGATCACTTAATATAAATCAAAATATAATAATAGTTCACATTTATCTAACACAAAACCAAGTCTTACTTATGTTTAGTTTTGAATCGCAAATACCTATTACTATTCCTACATACTAGTATATCTATTTATTAATTTTTTTTTATAGGATGAGGGTGACAAACGAGCACACAGTCTACCTGATGACAAGTAGTTGCTGTAGCCCATAGACATCTACATCTATCTTCGTTTGCGAATTAAAATGCAGATGCGTTGTCAGTCGTGAGGACTGAGATAGAATGCCTCTTTTCCAGTAAAATGGGTCTCCGGTTCTCTACACTCACCATACGAAACACAGCAGCATTAAGCTGCTATTTTACGCTGGTATTCTGTGAGAGCGTGGTCCTTCCCCGGTCGAGCCGACCCATTCGTGCTACAACTAAACTATTAATATAGCTGCAGCATGGCTCTACCACGTCAAAATTTCTTCCTGTGTGTCGTTATTTTTATTATTCTGCCTGAAGAGGTAGCCGCTAACAGTATCACATCATAAAATAGACATTTTTAAACAGGGATATATTCAAGAAGTTTCTTAATATCTTGAATTTTTTCTGGTTTTATTGGTACCATCCGTTGATAACAGTTGCTGGGGTCTGTCGTGATTTTGCCACCCACGCTAACACGATATAATGTCATTTTTTAAAAGTTTTGAACTGTCATGGAAGTACTAAGTTCAGGATGTCGAAATCTTTGAAATCGTACTTTTCGACATAAATTGATATTCCGCTGATTAATGGTTTTACATGAGTTTCATACAGGCTTTGGTAATTCTTATTTTTTGATACTCACTCTCCAGCGTTTTCCTCATCTCTCTTTAAAAAAAAGACAACGTTGAATTTACGTGTGTTGCGTGAGTTTTCTATCATATCTCTATGTAATAGCCAGGTGTATTCCGTTTTTGCAGTTATATTCAAAATGGAGAAGAATAAGCGCATTGGCCATCTTGATGTGATTCTGGCAACGGAATAATCCTCTTTTTTTTGATCTACAACATCTACGCCTCCTTTTGTGGAATTGTAAAATGTTACAATCTCAGGTTTAGCTTCACTTCCAGTTTCTTGGTCTATAGCGTCGTCATTGTGAAGTGTTGATAGCATAAGGACAATCTTCTTTGTTTTTTTCTTTGGCACATATGATAAGATTATCTTATCTTCACCGAAACCAAAAATTGAACTTGGCATTGGCCTATCCTTTGTTGACAAAAAAGAAGGCAGAATCTCTTTTTTATTTTTCGCAGTGTTCCCACCGCAGTTGTTCTGTAGTTGCTTTTCAGTTCATCAAACAACGGTATGGATGTAAAATAATTGTCCATAGTTAGATTTCTTCCCGTGTTCAATATGGGTTGTGCAATTCTCTTCACTACATCAGCAGCGGAGTTACTCAAACTGAATGGCCCTGCGGGTTGTTTCCCGGCGTAAATCTCCAAATTACTTGTCTAGAAGGTTTTGGAATATACAAGTGCATAGATTTTGATGCCGTACTTTGCGGGTTTGTTGGATATATAAACTCTAAATTTACAGCGGCCTCTGAATGATTCTAACATTTCATCCACAGTGCAGTATTCCCCGGGTGTGTAATTTTGATTACAATGAGCAACAAAGCTTTCAAAAATTTCTCGGATTGGTGCCAGGTGGTCGGTTTCCTTTCTGTTATCACGAGTATTTATGTCATCGAATCGCAAAACCCGTAACAAAAATAAAAATATTTTTATTGACATGGTTGCTCTAAAAAAATCACATGCTGTACCATCATCTAGCCACATTTCTTTTACATTTAAATGACAGATCTTTTTCAAGCCCGCCATGTACAAAACTCCGATCAATGCTTTTATTTCAACTGCATCTGTAAGTTTGCAATCCCGTTCACGTGAAAACTTTTCTTGTAGTTTAGTTATGTACACATTCGTGTACAGGACTATTTTGTCTATCATGGTATCATCCACAAACAATGAGAAACATTGTAAAGGTTCTTTGGCATTCTTAGCTACATTTTTTACTCCAGGCAGGTGGATAACTATGTTATAACTCCTAGTACGTACGTTAGTTACGTAAAGGCTTGTGGATAAGCCATTTTGTGGAACGATCTTTGCCAATATAGTATGGGATCCTACCTCTTTGTTGTTGAGTCGCGGGAGTAGAAATATCAGCATCGTTTTCATCCGACGATTGCTCCGTATCAGTTTCGTGAGGACTACGGATGACAGAACTATCGTTTTTTATGGTGTCAATACGATATTGTTCCCCATTTTCAAGATCTGCATCCAATTCATCACCAGAATCCTCTTCCAACCACGAACGAATTTGTGCTTGCATTCGATCGTCCATTTTGTATCTGTAGTGTAGCTAGAAGAAAAATAAAAATAATAACATTTATTACTAAACAGTTTTTACATGATAATCAACTAATATAAATCAAACAAATAATAATAATAATTTAATAATAAGAAATAATATGGCAGAAATAACAATCTTAACTTTTTTAAACCACAAAAATAAATACTTACACGGATGGGCGTGTGATAAGAAAATTGCCGCACGTTGGTACACGGCCTCCACAAACGCCTTGCTGCGCGGTCGCAACGCCACTGAGCGGGTCGAGAATTGCGTCAGGGGATAGGGGGTGAATATTTAGGAAGGTACTTAAGTGCTTGAATTGGTGTGGCAAGGGAAAGACAAAAAATTTTTGAATTAAATTTTTGTGTGAGCAAATTGCTCATAGCGCGCCTTCTCACGGATTAAGAACAATTCAATTTCTAGGTCTTTGTCTATCATGCCCTGTATATTTTGATGCACCAGGTGTAAACAATTTTTATTATCACTCTGTGGAGTCATAGGAGAAAAATATTGGGTCTATTTATTATTGTACAAAATATTTTACTTATAACTAAAGAGATAAATGAAGTAGAAAAAGAGATAAATGAAGTAGAAAAAGAGATAATTTATTCGTCATCCGCCAATAGAAGAACCTCTTCTAAATGCCGATAAGAGCCGTGGTAGCTCAGATGGTTAGCGCTCGCTGTAAGCTTCACAGTACTCGAGCAACCCGGGTTCGATCCCCGCCGGCACCAATGAAATTGTTAATTGCAATTTTAAGTGTTGATTTCCCACGTGCTCGGCGGTGAAGGAAAACATCGTGAGGAAACCTGCATGTCTGAGAAATAAGAACAAAATCCGAAGACATGTGAAGTTCGCCAACACGCATTGGGGCAGCGCGGCGGATATTTCTTTGCCCTAAAACCCTCCCAGAAATGAGATGAGGCCTGTGCCCAGCAGTGGGACGTAAATAGGCTGCAACTTTACTTTTTACTTACTTCTAAATGCCTCCATCATCACCATCATTTCTTAATGATGAGCTTGAAGGTCCAGCAACAGAAGTGGAAGAATTACACTGAGCGTCATATCTGTGGTGTTTGGGATAATTATTATGAAAATTGTGCAGTTTGATCATTTCTTCTGTAGGTGCGAAATCGTTGAAACACATTTTTCTTACACCTAAGAAAACTTGGGTACATGTTATTGTCTGCAACATAGGCAACTGTATCTTGTTGCGCAATTTCGTTTTAATTTAATTCTTAACACTGGAACACTCTTTCTATAGTTGCGTTGCTTATAGGCATTAAAAATGCGCGCAATGCAAATTCGGCAAGATCTTCAAATACACGTTGGGTGTGTTTCTGATTTGCGATACGCAAACCCAAAATTTCTGGCACGTCATATTACTTATGTCCACTCCGGGAATATTTTCAATTCTCATTGTGATGATGAGTCTCCATTGGTTTTCGATTTTATCTCGATTTACATTGGCGGAAGCAAGCACCCAAGGCATATCGTGAAATTTTGGTCTGGTGCTTTGTACACTGCAAGTGATTTCGGGGTTAAAACATTGCAGCTGTTGGATGATTTGCATATTTTCCGGTAATCTGTTAACAAAGTCTTGGCACAAGCGGACTAGTACCAAAGAGCATCTTTTTTGCACTTCTCTGATTTTGTTTATTGGTATGTTACAATGTCTAGCGACTTCCTCAAACTTATACCCGAAATCAATACTGTCGAGTTCAAGAAGAGAATTTTCAAATTCAGCATTAAATTTCGAAAGGGCTGACTTTACAGCCTCGACGTCTTGTACAAACTGATTACTGTCCCGGAAAACATTCAAAGAGGCAGGCTTAAATACTCTTCTTGCCGTTGAAATCAGAAGAAGGCGCAGATCATTGTAAATTTTGGTTATATCAGCACTTTCTGCTTGAAAGATCATGTTTAGGTCCTTTACCTCTTTCAACAGTGGTGCTTAAAACACCAAATACAATAAATGTGTCTCATCATTGTACATTGACGTTAGCTCCCTAGCTTAGTGGCGTTTTTCCCCTGAAGAACAGAATATGTTAAAATGTGTCTAAAGGAATCCATTGTATTATGTTAGCTTCAACAGCATCATGAAACGACAGCCACCGTGTTGTCGCTAACTGAACCAGTTTTGGCGCTTTCTTCCTATTATTTAGTCATGCATATACCTAATGGTACATTTTGGTGCGAAGTGGACTGTGTGAGAACTAGTTGCGGAAAAAGTTCAAAATACGGAGATACGATTTAAATAACGACACAACAGATTTTGGAATATTATGTTAATTTTAGTTCCCGGTATGGATAACGAGGGCGTTTCAAATCGGCATAAGCATTTTGTATGGAATAGCCAGTCCAGCGTACTTGTATAAATAGAGGTCAGTGTTTAATGGGCTTAGTTTTCGAGGAGAAAACAGGGGAATACGAAACGTCAATCGGTCATGGTTTTTGTAGGTATAATCGTTAAGAGCTGCAGTTGTCCCTATCGCACTCTACGGGGCAGACCACAGGTGAGGGAGGGTTAGACTAATACGTACACAATTAGGGAAGTGACAACTGTCGAAGTTTTTATCGATATCATAGTGATGTTAGTCGATATCGACGTTTATCCTATACTGATTTACAGACGGTACAGAACAGTGAAATTAGATGCTCATTTTGTATTTTTTCAAGAGACAACGAAGTAACAATTCAGTGATATTTTAAGTGTTTACGTTTACTATTATTTGAAATGAACTTTAGCGAAGTGTGTCTTGAATAAATACAAACCGTAACCAATTAATACGTAACTAATGTTCGCACTCTACTGCTTGGCGTGATCATTATGCTTATTTGATTTGCCAGCTTTACTGGGGTGTTTATAAAATAATGACAACTCTTTTCAAGTAAATACTTAATATTTATATGCTACTTGTGGGTATTTTAAATAATACAAAAGTTATATAATAATTAATATGTACATTTAATCTGTCGTTATTGCCATCCTTCCTCTTACAGGTAAATTTCGTGGTATCTGATCTTCATTTATTTCAGGGAGAAGGCATTCGTGGAAAAAAAAATTTATATTTGGTTCCTTGTTTTGTCAAAATTTGTTGTCTTTTTCAATTTTTTCATATAATAAACATTTGGGGCTCCACAATACTAATATTAATGATAAAGTTTGTAATTTTAATGACATAATTTTGAACATATACAATGAACATGCCCCGTTTAAACGCGTAAAGATAAAGCGTAACCCTGCACCATATTTATTAACTCTATTACGACAGTTATTACATCTAATTTCCATCTATACGCGGACGACTTACAGCTGTATCGTCATTTTCCTGTGTGATACAAATAATGCAATTGAAGCCATGAATGCGGCCGTATTTGTATCTGAGCCGTATTTGTTACTGGTCTGCATCCTTTGGACTATTAGTTAATCCCACGAAATCGCAGGCCATCATAATAGGCAGCAAGCATTTGCATAATAAATTAGAATTTACACCATTACCTCACGTTTGCTTTAACGGCGTTCCTATAGCCTTAGCCGGTACTGTAAAAAACTTAGGCGTCATATTTGATCACCATTTATCATGGTCCGCGCACATTTCTGAGGTTAGTCGTAAGGTCTACTTTACCTTGCATTCATTTAAATGTCTTCAGAATATCTTACCCCTAAAAGCTAAAATATCACTCGTGCTCACTCTTATCCTACCACTGCTTGATTATGCTAACGCCTTTTATTTGGATGCTACAGAGGAGCTCCTTAACAAACTGGAGCGCTTGCAAAACCAGTGTATTCGTTTTATATTTGAGCTCAAAAAATTTGACCGAATATCTCAGTTCCGCAAGCAACTCAAGTGGCTCCCAATTCGACTTCGTAGGAACACTCAATTGTTATGACTCTTCTATAACATCCTTCACAATCCATCTTCCTCATATCTCAGATGCCGATTTTCCTTCACCCATTCCCCGGATAAACCTTGCCGATCCCTTGTTAAAACTCTTCTTATCTTTCCCGCCCATAATTCCGGTTTTTACTCCTACTCCTTTTCTGTCCACGCGGTAAGGTTGTGGAACTCACTATCGCCTAATATAAGAAATTCTAAAACATTATTGGTATTTAAAAAACGTGTTAGAGAAAATTTCTTTGCATCGTGTTAATTAATACATGTTATTTTATTATTATTAGGTTATATATATTATATGTAGCTATTGTATGTATTATTTTTATATATGGTATTATTTTATTTTTATTTATAGTATCATTTAATATAATTTAAGTATGTTTTTTTGTATATTATTTACAGTAGTATTAGTATTGTACGCACTAAGTTTGCCTTTTTAAATATATTTTCCTTTGTGGGTCTACTGGAAGATATTTCAGCAAATT